TAATTATGTTGTTTAGATGGCATTTAACAACTAAGACAGATAGTATGATTAGAAAGAGACAGAGTGGAAAGGGTTGGATTTATTTAACATCAGTGGGCTAGACTTCTTATAGGTAATGTGTACCGGGACCTGGACTCCCCCTCTGAGTTAGAAAGGCTTTGATCCCGACCCTCCAAGCAGACGAGACCTAACCCAACAGGAGACTCCTCCTTCTCCATCGTACAGACAGAGAACCAGAGCTGAACCAACAACAACAACAAGACTACATCAAGACTGCAGCCAGAACTATCTCCACCTGTGGCATCCAGAACCAAACCAGCATGCTGACATACAGAGAGAAACTCCCATCGGTCCCTCAAACAGGACATGAAGTTCCAAACTGCGCGGCGAGATTTGGCACAATAGACATGAGAGCAGAATCCGCCCTCCATAAAAACAGCAGAGAGACTGTAAAGGAGGAGTGCAACAACAGTGGCATGATGGGGCTGCAGATATGACTGGGCCAATGGCGGCCTACAAAAGTTACAGCGGATGGATTCAACAGCTGATGGACTGAAGAGAAGACAGAATCAGAGGAGTTGGCATGGTCGATTAGAAGTGAGGAGGCCGGGGTCACGGCTTGAGAAAACCAGGGGAGGAGGAAAGGAGAACGGGAATGAGTGAGTTACACATAAACACACTTATTCACGAAACGCACATTTAAATAACTTGAATTAACTTCATAAATACGTAAAGACAGAAAGATTTATTAATCATTTGGTAAATTAAAAATAGCAGTAAAGAGGAAACTATTAAAGTAAAATGATAATCATCCTAAAACACACTGACAGAGTAGAACCATATTCTTCAATATTTTCATCATGTTAACAATTCATTCTTTAAGACATTTTTATTCACGTGTGAATAAAGTAGTGATCTCATTGGTTACAATATTGATCACCATTAAAAGGATAGTTTTAGGAACCACTCTATAGGACAAATCTTTGTTTGTATTAATGGCTAGTGCCAAGCCACATATTAAATTCCAATCTAAAGTGTTGATTTCACCATTGTGGCATAGTTATTACCAGACTTCGGTTTTAAATCCTTGATAAAGGAGGGAGTAATTGTTGCATGTTCGGACACCCAGGGTTCCACACACTGCTAAAGAGTTTAACATCGTTTTTTAAGTAGACCAGAATTATAATGAGCTATGAAATGCAGAGCGACACAGATCCTAGTAATGTTTTGACTCAAGATAATAGTTATTGGACAAAAGTTTCTGAAATAGATCATTAGACATTTTAATTAGTAGTGGTACTCGAAGGAAGTGAGTTTTGTACCAAGTTTCAGGAAAAGTGGGAGGCGGAAGTCCCAATGACAAGTGAGAATCATCTTGAAAATTATAGTTGAAATCGTGACATATTTTTGTAGACAAAGGATACTGGCCTATGCTGAAATGTCAAAGTCTCTGCAGAGCACGACACATGGCCAAAAAAGACGAAGACCAACTGACCTTTGACCCTGACCGACAGTGTAACTTGACAAGGCACTGTGGATGACTGACTCTGGGGTGAACCTGACCAAACTTGACATGACAACCAGACAGTGTGAGTGAATGAATGCCGGCATGTGATCAGTGTAACTGCATGATTCTAAAACAATAACTAACCAAGCATGTTTTTGGACTAACATATTATTTTGGAGCTCCAAGGGAAACGAGAGGTTTCCTAAAAATTCCACAAAAAGAGGAAACCGCACATGTGATATTTTCCTCTCACATGAGTTGGCGGTTTGCAAATGTAAAACTACAATCTGAAGATTCTGTTTCTTTTAGGCCTGAAGGACGGAGAGGAACACTTCTTTTCACTGAAGTGTTCACTGTGGAAATAATGATAATAATGTTCGTTATGTCCCTAACCAATTACCTGACAGTTTTTGTTCCCCTCCCATTACAGGCTTTTGTTACACATTATTTCATGTGTAAAAGGGGGGAGTGAGTAAGTATAATGTATAAATGTCAACATGGCTGTAAAATTCACAATTTACATTTTTTAAGGATTGAGCATTGAATGTAATTAACCTGCTCCATATCTGGGGATAAGATACTGTTTGATGAATGTTGAGATGTTTCTAAATATTGATTTGAATTATAGCAGGTAACAAAGAAGCAGTGGCCAAGGGGCTACTGTGAAACCGAAGAAGTTGACCTGTGATAATGAGACAATTTTGTAATATTTTAACAGACATTAGAGTAACTGAGGTTTGAAATGTAGAAAGAACATATTACAGTTAAGTTAAGCTAAAACATAGTAATGTAATGAGACAGAATTTAATTTAGACAACATCATGTAACTAGCCTGGTAAAGAAGTAAAAGCCATATACTTTATTGTTTAGGTCATTATAGGGATATACATTTCATCTAAATTTATAATAGAAAGACATTTGATGACAGTTTGTTGGAATTCTGTATTCATTTTTCAGCGTGATAATATCTAAGCACTGACAGGTAAGAGCAGTATCACCAGGAAATCATTCACTTTGTTAGCATCGTGATTTTGGTTGTTTTTTAATCCATAACATTAGTGTGTTTCTTTGCCAGAAACATTAGCAGTTCATATTATATTTAGATTTTAAATAGGATTTCATTTAAAAATAAACACGGATGCTTGTCAGAAATTCAGAGCTATTGAAATATGTTATTTAGTTTACCTAAAGATGTTGGGGTTCTTATTTAGTTGGCACAATCCAAGTATTAAGATTCTGAAGCTGCACTGGCAGACAGGAGGGCTACAATTAATTTGGAAAACCTGTTCACAGACGGCTGTTGTTTCAAGACACCCCACCAACAGGCTCCAAGTGGGTCAAAACAGCTGAGCGTAGGCTTGAGGGAGTTGTATCAGATTTCTCCACACAGGTCACCGGCGCCAAAAGGGGGACCCGAGAAGCACGAGGACAAAGTGGCTCAACCCCAGGCTCTCCGACCCCGACCGAGTGACCCAGCGGACCTCTTATGCCGTCTGCCTGGGAGAAAAGGGGGACAGCTCGTACCACGGGAGCCAGTGTGCGGCGGGGAAACCACCTGCTAGGACCAGGGGACGACATCAGGACGGACGTGGCCCGGGCAGACGTGGACTACACGGAAGCAGCAGACTGGAGGAGCAGGACCCTGGAGACATCTCTACAGCATCGACCCGGGAGGCATCATCAGCGGGCCGGAGAAGGAGGACCCTGGAGACATCTCTACAGCATCGACCCGGAAGCCGCCATCAGCGGGCCGGAGGACGAGGAGGAGGAAGACATCTCTCTAGCAGGCAGCCCAGAAGCTGCTGTCAGCGGATTGGGTGGACAAAGACACGGCAAGCCAGGACGGCACAGCAGAGGAGTCTACTTTGCTCTGATCAGTTCTACCCGTGAAGGGAAAGCTGCATCTCCCCCTCCCTATTAGCTGTCCTTGTGGGCTATTCCTCCGAGGGGGGGGGGGGGGGGTGATGATTCTAGCACTCAGCTACCCCCTCATGGTTCCTTCACTGCCATGGAAAGTGGTGTTCGGTCTCCATGAAGGTTTCAAGTACTCTGAATACCAGCTTCGGATGGATTTACGGACACAGTAGAAAAGAATGACCGTGGGTATATTTCAAAATGCCTTGTCTAAGTTTATCTCTGGAGAAGGAGATAAAAAGGGGGATTTGTAGAGTTATATTTGTATTTATTCATGTTAGCAAACTATGGATAAGCTTAAAATGGGAATAATTTGGGTAAAACTGTGAGCTGCATTTGGGGCCTGTTGACATGTGTTTTTGAGGACAAAGGAAGATGGGGGAAGGTGAGAGCATGTCCTGATTTGCATTCAACTTAGAACGAGCTACAGTGGTTGTGATGTTAAGAGAGGTCCCTTGGGTTTCTCTGGTGCTTATCAATAGTAGCAGTTAAGTGAATACTGTTCAAACAATACCTGTTTTTGTGTTTTATATTGATTTCTCTGTTTTATCCTTTCATAAATGTAAGGACTACAAATGGCTATAAACATTCTGGGCTGGTTGGAGTAAACAGGGTTTTATTGCTCTGTGGGGGAGGTGTGGGTATGCAGGCCTTGAGACCTTTTGTTGGAAAGTGAGCCTGTTTGGTTTCCTGCTGGCCAGAGTTGCGTCTCCCAATGAGATGACCTGAAAAGATGACCAGCTGACCTAACACCAAACCCCTCCTTCTTACTCTGGTATATATCCGGTGGATCCCTGGCGTTCGGCCTCTTCTTCACATGCTGCCCTCGGGTGAAAGTAGCTCATGCAGTATGCGGACTAGAGCAGGAGTAAGCCGGCATTACTCCTTAAGCATTGCAATATAACTGTAATATATCATGTTGTATTGTAATGATTGTATTGCATTGTCATATTGCCATTAAAGTAGATTATTGTTAACGGTTACTTTGTAGATATGGATTCCTTCCTGTATTATAACCAGCTTCATAGGAACGCGCGGAGATTTGAAAAGCGGACCAGTTATCCCTCCAAATCTCCAACAACATGCAAACAGCCCTCTTATGTTGCAGTACATAGAAACAAACTTAATTTTATACTAATTAATTCATGCGTTATACTTTTGTATTGCCGATAGATCTAGAACCATGACATGAACTACATGCGATCTGTGAAAAGATAGAGACTTTCTGGGTTGATGGACCTAACCTGGAAATGTAGAAATCACTGCTTTATTTCATTGGCAAACTGTGGAACCCATACTGAACTGAGTTCAGTGTATACATGAGCTTATTCTCTTCCTCTTATTTAATTCACTTTATCAGTTGAATAAAATGATTATAGTATATTATACAAAATATTACTTTTCTTTCCTAGCTCTAATATGCACCAAAAATAAAACCATTGTTTTTGACTAGGACAGAGAATTGTCACCAAATCCTCTTCTTTTGTTAAGGGCTCTGGGTCTTGTTTTGCCTTACTTGTTTACTACCCCTCTATTCCAGTCCCACATACACACAAAGAACACCCTCACACACACATACCTGTATAGCCGCCTGGTAGAACTTGTGGGACAGCTTCCCCAGCTCTACATCTTCTGGTGTGACCCCCTCTGAGGCTGGGGTCATGTACTGCTCCAGTTTATCCAGCTGCTCCACCTGAAAGGTTTTCCAAATGAGAGGCACCTATTGAAGTCTCTTTTGAAATTCAGAAAAAGGTCTCTTTAATCCTATATTGCCTATAAATGAGGAACTATTAGTAATGAAGTCCCAAATCAGGGATGCACCTTTGATAATAAAATATTTCGTTTCTGACAATATTGAAAAAAATATTAATAATGGCAATATTCCTATGAAACTTTTACAATGACAATCAATATTCCACATATATCCTGTCCTACAGCTTCACCCTTTAAAATGTAAATTGGCCTCCTTCCTCAACTCCATGCTGCTCCCATGCTGTACCCTCTTTGTCACTGTTATGCACATTTTGCTTTCTTCTTTTTTCAACTATGCATGCACTAGTTGGTAAAAAGTACTAATTTGTGATAAATACAATGAATGCTGACTGCAAGAAGCTGTGTGTCGCAAAACGCGGCAATAATAAACAATATTCCAATTGCTTTTGTGGATGGAGCAAATGGAGCTGTGATTTTACAAAAGGGTCCACACATTATTTGTAAAAAAGAAATTGTACATTTTGATAAATTCTCAGAAAGACCTTTTTGATCTTAAATATACCTTTGTCTTGATATTGAATTGTTTTACCTCTGCCAGGACAAAGGGTCGCTCCTTCAGCAGACTTGTCACACTGAAGCGACACAGTCCGGTGATGAGGAGGGTGTAGTGGGGCTTTGGCCAGTTGCTGCCCACAACCTGCACTGCTATACCTGCTGTACCAATTCTACAGAGAGAGGGAGAGAGAGAAAGTGAGACACAGGAGGGATGATAGACAACCCACTGGAGAAAGGATGGTTTGTCCTAAGCTTCATGGTGGCATTATCTTATATTTAACGAGTGTGCCCTGATGTTTTTTTCGTGAATGGTACAGATTTACAACTTGGTTTTGGTCGGGATCAAACAACTATTTTATAATCTTTAAGGTTTTAAGTGTATTGTGGGAAAGTCTTTAATTTGAGTCTCACATCAAAATAATACTTTAAAGTTGTGCACTGGACCAAATGAACTTTAATTAAAAGGTTCAATGGTTGGTCATATACTCAGCTACAGTGTAGTTGTGCAGTGAATGTATTGGGTCACAGGTTCCTCCAACAATACAACATACATATATAAAGACATAAAACAAATAAAAACAATAAAAACAGTGCAAGCTCGGAAGTTCAGCAGTCTTATGGCATGTGGGATAAAACGGTCCCTGTGTCTGTTGGTCTTAAACTCATTTAAAGCAGGGGTGGGGAACCTTCGGCCCCCGGGCCGTATAAGGCCTGCGAGACAATTTGGTACGGCCCTCGAGGTAATTTATAAACACACGCAAAAAAGGAAAAATTTAGAGAAATCTAGACCGCAAAAAAATTAAACAAGCGAGTGCCTGTTTTTCCTAGCCAAGGTCAGGGTCCTTGAACTCAACACGAGCCTAACGTGTCATCACGTGGTATATGTCTCGACTGACAGGGGTGCAGTTCTGACGGAGAGCACCAGAACACGGCTCCGGCACTTCACAAATTGCAGTACCCATAAGGAGCCGTACACATGCTGCAGTTTCTGCGTGACTGTGTCTTTAGTTGAAAGCCCAGTGGCGATCTGTCATACTGATCATACAGTCAATAACTTTGTTGTTATTAGCATCTGGTTAGCTAGCTATGCTAACGAATATAAGAAGCTTTTTCTCCAACCAGTGAGGTAAAGGCACATCTTTATATGATCATTATAGTTATAAAAAAATAAGAGAATAAAGTAAACAGGTATAAAATACTATATGACAGTAAAAAAAAGTTGTTATTAATAAACAAGAACACAGTTTGAAAGGGAAGTGATTTGTAAAATATCCATAAAGAAAAAATAAATCTGCTTCCAGTTCTGTTTCAAATGGGTGTTGAGAGATGGATCCATAGATCTCTTAATGTTGCTCTCAAAATGCACCAGATTGATGCTTTCAACTTCAACATTTAAAAAAAATCTTCCCGGGGGAGCATGCCCCCCCCTAGAGGAGGTTAACTCCCCCCCACTTAAATCATGTCCACATGGATAGGAAACTAAATACATTTGAACACATCTTGTGTCCATATCTTTCTGTTTTGGTGGTCATGCCACAACCGTGCACGTGCATGCATGCGTGCGCGAGTCATGATAAAATATCTGGATTAAGAGGTTGCTTTTTCTTTGCACAACATGAAAGAAAGGCGAAATTAATCTGTGATTTTAGTATTTTTAAGCAGAGGTCAATAACTGGCCCTTGAGAGGATAAAGGTTCCCCACCCCTGATTTAAAGCATTACTGCCTGTAACCAATAATGAGTCTTCTGTCTATCTTCTGAGGCTTTTATTCTGCTCAGTGTTAAGTAAAACAGTTGTTATAAAAGACTTGCAGGATAACAAGCTGGAATAAAAGTCCTTTGGGTAATTTGGGACCCATTCAAATGCTGACACGTTTTTAAAACACACAGTTTGGGCCTCAATGACTTGAATTACACATGTTTTTTTGGGGGAAACACGTGTTTTCGGCGGGAACCCCACAAATGATTGACACAAAATCAGAATGATTTAAAACCCAATAGATTATTAAGAACTGAGCGGCTAGAGTTGCCAAAGTCAGTGTGGATGACAGCAGGACAGCAGGTTAAGCTATGGATCGATACAATACATCAATGCAAGACTTCTTGACAATGTTCCCTGACATAACAACCCCACACACACCCACACACAATATGTTACTGATTATGGGCCGCGGGACATAGATTCCGCGATTTAATGTGAAGTGAAGCGGAACTGACAGCCACCAGAGAGAAGATCACACCAGTTTGGCAAGGATGGTGGCTGGAGTGAGAAGCCTCTGAAGGGGCTCAGGCTCTAAATCAGAGACATATGTACTGTTTAAAAGGGGAAGATGTTTGAATAAACAGCCTTTAATCCCTGTTTCCCTTCAGAAATCCAATATCACTGAGGTCTACCACAACAACACAAGGACATCAGATTGTCTCCGTTATTTTAAGACTTTTAGCGTCATGGAGCCTTTAGTGTTTTTAAATAAACTATTTGCTAGCAGTGGATGGCCACAATGTATTGCTACAATGCCAAGTTCAGTGCCTAAGCCAATGTAGCGGTTATTCCCCGAGTAACCGTGGCTGTGAGATAGATAAACAATCGCTATTTAGTAACCAGCCTGACCGGTAGACTGCAGGTGAAAGGTTAAAGTCTCTGTACTCAGCTGCAGGGCCACTGCTTAACTGTAGACTTTCAGAGAACAAATCACACAATGTCGGTTCTTTTCAGAATATGTGCATGCAACTGTGCATATAACAAATATTAGGTTCATGCACAAGGCCGGACTGAAGTTGCCCGAGCTTTTTTCTCTCTGTTGTAGTTTCATAGATAACTTGGACCAAATGTAAATCAGTACGTCCAAAACTGTAACAAAAAAAAATGCAAAGCAATTCCTCAATTATATTCCCAAAGAATACACAGAATAAACCAATTTGCAGTGGGGAATATGCCTATTAAAGACATTAATGTGGACATATCTGCAAAATAATGTGATTTACTTGGGCTTTATGACTGCAGATTTGTTTAACTTTGTTAACCATTCAAATGTAAACTAATGACACACCCTGAATCTAAACTCCTGCGCTTGGACTATTTTGTGTTGTTTTTTATTTGATTTGTTTTATGTCTTGTTCATATTGCATTGTTGAGGAACCTATAACCCACGTTTTTCACTGCACTACACTGTAGTAGTGTATTAATAAAACCTTTAAAATATTGAAATCTTAAAAAGACAAAATAAAGAAAAGAAAACAAATTCATAGATTAGCATGATATGCTCAGTAGTGCCAGTGAAATGCCATGGCCTACATGTTCAATGAATTGGGACATGGTGTTACCAAATGTTTATCCACTCTTGTCGATAATGTAGATAGAATTTATAGTAAGCTGGGTCATTCTACAGAAAAGGTGGAATGTGGGTGATCTGCTGAAATATATTCCTTCTAAAAACATCTAAAACCTGTTAAATAGCAATAACTAACTCTTAACTTGATGAATCCACAACAAGTAGAGCTTAAAGTATTTTTATTATGTTTATACTTTATACAAAGCTTATTTGTATAGGAATGTCACTGGTGTTACGTGTTACCAGGAAGAAGACAATTTGGAGAAAACACTACCATTTTAACAAAATGGCTGCCATGTGTCAGACCAAATATGGCTTCAGTCAATATCAAAATCGTTTAACTCTTCAATACAATACATTTTCTCATTCAAATGTTCACCCGTAGGGCTATGACATGAGTAACACCAATGACAGACTTGAAAAACGCATGTAAAATTTGAAGATAAAATGACACCTTTAACAAACAAAGTAAGAAGTATCTGACTTTCCTTATGTCTTTGTCCACTGCACTGCCTCAAATGATCTCTTGTTACAGGAGGCACTTCAGAGACAGTACATTATTTCAAAAATAAAAGCGTTTTGTGTAGCAGTAACACCAATGACGTAATTTTGGGTGACTGACATTTATTTGATATTATTAATAATAATGTCAGTGTTATATTTAATGTATGTAATGTTATGTAAATATAAATTAGATTTATTTATTGAAACAAAAATCTTTTAAATTAAAACTATAGGCTCCACTTCCATGTATGATCAAAGTGACAAGGCAGTTCCTTGAACTTGACATTTTAAATAAATTGCAATTTACGTATAAAACCATTTTTTATTTAGTACCATTGCAAAGACAATCTCTATGTATTCAACATATATAATGAATGTGAGTATTAGGTCAACGTCATGTATTTTGGTGTCTGCAAAAGTAAGTGACAGCACTTCCACCTTTTCTGTAGAATGACCCAGCTATGTCCCCTTAAAAATGCTTAACAGAACTATTTTTTTTAACTTCTCATGACCCCTAAGGTTTGAAGGGGTCCCCAGTCCCAGGTTGTACATCCTGTACAGTCAGCTGGTATGCATCCATAACAACAACAACCACTTATCAAACTCGGGATATAACTATTTACTCTTTATCTATGTATATAACTAAGCGTTGATTACTTATGCAAGCTGGGAAGGTCGTCGGTGTCTTGCTCTGGGTCTCTGGTGTTGGGAATCACTCCTATGATAGTGCTTTTCAGAGAAGTTCCCTTCAGAAGCCGCTGGCTGACCAGCTGCATGTTCCGCGGAGAGTCCACGCTGAATCTGACGGTGGAGCCCGGGAGCAGCACCCCTTCATGGGTCAGCAGCAGCGGCAGGCGGCTCGGTATCTGAATTCCGTCACCGGAGGCCATTGTCTGCTGTTCTCACAAGCAAAGTGGGTCACTGTCTTTATAACACACAACTCTTGGAAACAAACTGGCACACTGTCAAACAGGCAAGACCTTTGGTTTTCATATGGCTTCCGAGTCGTTATTTCAAAATAAACGCAAAAACATAATAAAGTAACGTTGGAAGTGTGAAAATTAATTAAGCACGTGTTTTGAGATCATGTTACTGAACATAAATGCAGTGGGTTTTGTTTTTACACGTATTTTTGCAATATGCTTACCCTAAAATGGAATACTATTTTCTCTCTCGCCTCACCATGGGTGACTTCCTGTATTCTCTGTTAACGGCAGGCTACGGTGAGTACAGAGGGACAAACTAGACGTTATTGCATAACATTGACGCTGCAAAGAGAAGTTGCGACATGTAGGCCTACTCAGATCAGTCTCAATATTAATGTATGCAACGAATAAGATTCACGTAATTTGTGAATTAAATATAAATGACTATCTCCACAAAAAATCTTCAAATGCAAATCGTTCTTTTTTTGTGCAATAGAAAAATATGCACAATTTATATAAAAAGATGATTGTCATAAACACAATCGTTTTCGTTGTATATTAATTGAAAATAAAATAATATTATCACATATCTTTTTTTTCAATTATTGTAATATAAATCTACATAATGATACAAATAAATAATAATTCCATTACTGCTAGGGATACTTATTCTCCCCCATATTTTACAGAACACCATTAGACTGAGCTTTAACGTCAATGGCCCTTAACCCTGTAATTCCCTGCCTGAGGGTCTGGGGCTAACAAAAAAGGGGCATCCTTTAAATAAACTCTTAAAACGTGTATTTCCCAAAAGCCTTTATTCCTTTTAACACACTGTTTTATTTACAACTGTTCTTTCTTGTTTGTTTGCATGTTTTGATCAGTATTGTCCTTGCAATCTGTAACTTTTTTTAAAGCGCAAATTAAATATAATTTACAACTGATTTATTTATTGACAGCTACTTTCTATTGTGCAGTATCAGATTTTTTAAACCAAATACAACATCAGAAAATATGATACATTTGATAAACAGTATACAAATTAGTTAAATTAGCTCCACTGAGGCCAGGTGCAGCAATTATTTGTATACATTTTAACATTAGCAATAGGAATACAAACATCATCTGACAGGAGACAACATGCTTAATAATGAGTACTCTTAATAGAGTACATTTAGCAGAAGACACTTAAGTTACTTTAAAAGTAATATTACTTTACTGAAGTTTTATCTGAATCTACCTCTTCCACCTAGTAATTGGAACCTCCTATTTGACTACTGCAAATTTGATTGGCAGGTCTTTAACATTGCTTCCAGGATGATTGGTCTCCCCACACCCAACATTGCAGAGCTAAACAAAAGGGTCATCAGATGAATTGACACCTCAACAGACACCATGCCGCACCTCCTGCCTTCCAGGCGCAGGTACAGGGACCCCTGAGGGGCAGAGGGCACACCGCGGGAAAAGGCTTACTTAACAGGCTTACCTGGAGCAGGCCCAGGGGCCCAAAAGTGTCAGGGTGCCTTCTCAACCTTCCCCTATATTACATGGTACTTGTTAGACGCTTTTATCCAAAGCAACTTACATACTCAGTACTGTGGGAAATCCCCACAGGAGCAATTTGGGGTGAAGTGTCTCAGGGACACAACGACATGCTGACAGCAGGTTTGACCCCCTGATCCCAACACCAAGGTTCTATCCACTGCACCACACACCTCCCCACCTACAAAAGTCACTCAAAGTGACACATCCTGACATGAAAAGGATTGTAAAAATGACCTCAAAGAAACAAGAACAGACTTTTCGAGCAAACAAAGACAACAAAGAGATGCAAAACAGCTCCAAAGAGACCACAAATAAATTCTCAACGACCAAAAACATCAAAATAAGCACAACAATTCTAGAACAAACTACAAAGTAATACAACATGATCACAAAACAGAGAGACATCAAAACTGCTAAAGCTATGTAGGCGGTCTTTAGTGATTCCTCTATGTTTTAGAAAAGAATATTAGCAACACAAGATTGCAAGTAGCTGCATTTTATTATGCAAAACAATTGGACAAGTCAGAATAATAATGGCAGCGTAATGAAAGACACATCAATAATGACTGGACACTAGACACAGGGTTAGTTGATACAAAATAGCTATTTAATTTGTATTTCTTTCATTGAAGTATTGACACATAGCATTATACATTTCCAAAAAATAAATAAATTCAATATCTTGCATATAAAAAAGTCAGTTTTTAAAGAACAACCATCCACATGTTAGGAGTTATCATCTCTCTGCTGTTACCAGTCAGTTTGGGGAAAATATAACTTTATATTCACAATAAGGGATCTTTGAATACACACCTAAAATGCTCTTATGGTAACAAAAAGACAACCGTACAGTTATATAGGATTAAGTGTAATACAAATATACGCTGCATTTAGAACAATACATATTACATCATTAAAGCTCTCCTGAATAGAGCTCCTTTCAGACCCAATCTCAACACTTTGCTTTCTATATAACATCATCCTTAACTCTTAAAGTAAGTACACTCTTAAACTGAAGCCATTACCTTCCTATAGTTGGCTTTCATAAATAGATACCTGGTGCAGTCATAAGGGGTCACTAAGTTCTATGGGACAGATACCTGAAGTTTATAAGTGAAACACCATATTACTTTTTAAAATGGTGTAGTGTAAATGCCATTTATTTGAGTTATTTATGAATTACTCTATATCTATTTAATTTTAAACGGAAAATGGATTACTCTTAACTGTTGTAAAAGAGCAATTGTTCTATTTGATTTTGATTTTTTTATGCTGTCATAATAAACATAAAGTATTGAAGGCAGAAGGAAGTCTTACACTGTAAACTGATTAAACTATACCTGTAATAACCTCTGTCTGGAACGCTTCGTTTTAGCGCCTGTCTTTAAGATCCCCTCCTGAAAAAGCTTATTCGGCTCTGGGTGGCTTGAGCCTGGGAAAGATTTTATCATAATATATATTTTCTGATGAGCCTGCATGTGAAATTTGAAGGGGAGCCAAATCTGAAAGGTCAGATACCTCAAATGTATTTATATAAAAAAAGATCGATGTTGGCCCAAATGTTAAAGTCAGAACAAAGTGAAATAGTGAAACTGATATTAATTCACATTTAAAAATGCTAATGGTCACTCTTCAAGCTTTGCACAGTTTGCCAGTAGGTCTGAAGTCAGTTCATGTCAATGCTCGGGCTCCAGCTCATTGATGTGTGGAAGAGTCAGATATGGTACAAAGTCTGCAGAAGTTTCTAGATATGATAACATTCCAATGCATTGTCTCTCTTACGGCTTCATGTTGATCTCTGATCCGAACCATTCAGGTCCACCGGAGCACATCACAGGCTTTTTGGGGAGAGTTTTCCTAAAGTCATAGTGACATCCAATCGATGATCAGTTCAGTCCATATATGAACAAATCTCTCAAGAACAAATAATTAATCTGAGCTGCCATCAAGAGACAAATATTTAAACTTCATGTGTGACAGAATTGGAAAATCTAAAAGTTGGAGAATTTCTCCTAAATAAGTGTAATTTCATTTTAGCAGAAAGTCCATTATGCTCATGAAATCACCATAAATGCTGCTGCTGTACCTACAATATGAGTCTTCTTTGCGTGATAGAGCCATTGATCATACCTTATTCTCATAAAAACAATCTTAGCTCTGTTCGGTATATTTAGGAAATAATTATTGATCTTCACAAATCAGGACTGAGCTCTCTTGTTTCCGTGTGGATTGTCCTTTCACTCTTCTCTCTATCGCTGAAACGGAGATAATGACACCAACCCTTTATTGGTATCACCATTGCATCCCGCTGGCCCCTTCTCAGCTTCGAGGGCGTACATTTTTCTTCTTGCCTTTTTTCCAATGGGAAACACTGCAATCTGAAAAGTAGACAAGATAAACTTTATTTATTTTCATGGATATTCTTCCATTTCTACTACCACATGTGCTACTGGCTCCTAATGAAACTGTTCCATGTGGATATGAGCCTTGGGACTACTAAGAGATAATTACCTTCAGCCCCACTTTACTCTCAGGTTTCACCTTTTTGAGGAGTCAGATACAAAGTAGTTACAGCTGTACTTCATAATCGCAACGCATATCTTGCTTTTGTTCATATTAGACGCTCAGAGCAAATCTTAGAGTCATGTAGGAGGTTGTGTGGGTCAACCCAACACTGAATTGTCACCCTGTTCTTGTCACATGTGAAATCATCAATCAACATTGACGGATTCACATTGTCAAAATTACATTTGTATCAAATATCCGCATCTTAACCCAGACCATGATTACTTTCTTAATCTAACCAAGTAGTTTTGTTTCCTAAACGTGAATGTAATTTTGTTAGAATTCATACTAAGAACTACAACTGTGTCCATACATCTGTATGTGACAAAATGTACTTGAGAACACTCCCCCCATGGTTCCTCTAGTCTAGAGTCTAGACTAACACTCAAAAAGTACATACACCCCATATGTAATACAGAACACTTGTAAGCCCTGTCATGTTAGTCCTGTCACGTCACCTAAGATATTAAGCTCTTCCCAGTAAAGTCACACACGAAACGTAACTTTATTTGGTAATTAGTTGAAGTGTGTAGAGATGCAGTGACTTAAGTCTCTGTGAAAGTCATGAACGCAGTTTAACCCGTGACTATGAGCCTCATCATATAGAGGGTCAAAAGCACAGTGAACACATGTTACTGAAAGTAGACCACGCCATGAGGATATCCGGTAGGAACGTTTTTTTAAACTTGATTCTGATTGGGAATTATGATAAATGCAGGTTATTATGTAGATTTTACGCCTTTTGTGATATTGACATGTTTTACCTTTTCAATATACTAGACAGTGATCACATTATAACTGAACAGAAAATGTATTTTTACTGGGTTAATACCGGAGAAGCAACAGGTTTTTATCTGCATTGCTTACAACAAATAATTAATCAGCTATTTTCTTACCGTCGTGATGCTCATAACTATGTCATTTACCACTGAAATGTGCCAAGTGTTGGCTGCTATAGTGATGTTTGTGCTACAGCAACATGACTATGTGATTCATGCACACTGCCATTCAATATTTGGAAATGGACCACAATGGAAAATATAGAATTAAAAGGTTTTAATGCTTTAAATGTTTACTTTCTTATTGAAATCTTCCTCCAGGTGTGTACTGTAATAGACTGGAATAAAGCTCACATGAGACCCACAACACTGAAGCTCTGTGTTGTGATTAATGGAGTCACATGTTGGGACCTCTCTTCCAGGAACACTTCAGTCACCTTTGACTGAATGTCATCTTGTGAAAATCCATGCATAGCATTATTGTAGCACAGTACTACCTAGACATTCTGGTTTCCTTCTAACAAATATTATATGTGTCCTTCAAGTTTAAGTTTTGTCATGTCGTTTCAATTTGAGTAATGCAAGATCTGGAGGGCCCCTCTGACAGAGTGAAGGACGTTTGGAGCTTTCCAAACTCACAACCAGAGTCATACCAACAGCCTTGGCATTCAGAATCAGCAGTAAACCAAAAAAAAGAAAATTAAGATCCAATGCAAAGTTGTTCATCACACTCATAATGGCCGGCCTTGTGCGAATTATGACAATATTCACCCAAATTGTGAAAAATGCCATCTAACAACAGCAAATGAGTGCATACAGTATGTTTTGGTTGTGTCCATGTCTGCGTAACTAGTGGCCTACGATTTTCAATACTCTAACGGAGGTCACTGGGACACTTATCCAAACTAATGCCATTACTGCTCTTTCGACATTCCTCAGTTGCCTTTTGCCGAGGCTCCCAGTGGATCTGATAACTCTGCTGACATTATTGTCTAGACCTCTAGTACTAATGAGATGATGTTGAAAAAAAACGTTGTTTATTTATGGCTTGAAAACTACGATAAACGTTGGAAGCCTCTCCCAAGAAGTTTCAAAATAATTGGGGGACTTTCTTTGCCTATGCAGAGAAACGCTACGACATTACTGTCTGTGAAAAAGCAATAAACAAAGCTCATCAACAAAAAAAGATGGTGGAACTATTCAAACTAAATGGGGGCAGAAGCTGGGGATGTAGTTGAATAGGCGGCCATTGACATAGGCCCTACATTATCTTTTACTCGTGGTATGGCATACCATAAATTTACAGGCTTACCAGGGGTAAGATTTTGTCCCCTGGGAACTTTAAATACTCATGCATGCTCAAAGTTACAAATCTGGGCTTTCAGTAATACATCTAGATGTTGAAGATGCAGACTGTCATGTCCAAGAAACTTATAGTGAAAGTTTATTCTTTATGTTAGTTTTGTCATGTCCCTTTGTCCTGTGCTTTATGTTTATTCCCTTAATTAATTCTCCCTCTCATTTCAGGCCTCCACGCTCCCCGCCCCCTTCTGTCTCCTGCGTCCTTGATTGTTTTCCCCGCCCTGATTGTTTCCACCTGTGTCCCCTTTACCTGTGTATATATTGTGTTCGCTCCCTCCTGTTCATTGTCAGTTCGTTGTCTCTCTATGACCTACGTTCCTGCTTACCTCACGGACATCTCACGGATCTATGTTATTGATCACTGTTCTAGTTTTCCTCTAAAGAGTGTTTTTGTTTTCCTTGTTTTCATTACTGTGCAAATCCCAGTAAAGTCTTTATTTTGAAACACTATCCGAGTCTGAGTTTGAGTCGTGCAATTGAGTTCATGCCTCAGAGTTCACTCCTTGACACAGACTCTCACACATGGCACTTCCTGCTATAAGGAAGTCATATTTTTCAATAGCTCAGAACTTAATTCATATTGGGAGGGGTTTTTTTAAAACTCTGACCTCCTAACAAAAAAAAATTATATTGAATTGAGCAATCTCATTGCCAGATATATTTTACTGTTACAAAGGAACCAATAACAAATGAGAGGCAGATCATGGCTTCAGTTGCCCTTGACTAACCCAAATTTAAGAGGAACACAAATGTTGATGGACCCTTTGCCATCAGGTATCTAACATAATACCATGTCCTGTAGGGAAGTATTTTATTTTAATTGTTCTTACAAAGCATGTGCTGCTTGTGTTTCTCTCTAATTAGGAAAATAACATGTTTTTAATTTTTTTTTCTTGGTTACATCCTGTGCCACTGGAGGGTTTTCTTTAAATACTCACAGTCCTGCTTTGTTTCTGTGCTGGCAAAGCACTCACTGAAGAGGCAGTGCATGGTGTGGCAGAGGTTGTCCAGGAGAGACTTCGGGGAAGCAGATCTCCAACTGGACTCGGGCACTCTGCTAGGCTCTTCTGTTAAATGATCCCAAGTGTCCTGGATAGACTCTGGAAGCTCCTGCTGGAACACCTGGGCACACAGAGACAGAAGCGTGAGTCAGTAGCTTCATTTGAAGTATGTATCCATCCAATACCTCTTAAGAAATACTATCTCACACTGCGTAATTAAATTAAGCCTCTCTTTAAAATGACCGCTCAGAGGAGAGGATTTCTAATTTCTCTAAACGCCTGCTGCTTCCCCTCCTCTCTCCTCGGTTCCCCTCCTCGACTCCTCTGCTCACATCTCCTTTGGGCGGGACTAAGACACGAGGATAGGAGTCGAGGAGGGGAGTTGAGGAGGGGAATTAGAGAAATGAGAAACCTTCCATGTCTGCCATAAAGAAAGTTGTCCAGGAAGAGTTTTTTTTACAACTGCTACCACTGGGCCAACAGTGTTTAACACAGAGTTTCAAGAGGACACAAGAATCGTAATGGAAAAATAGACTTTAGATAAAATACCTGCACAGATTGGTCAACAAGATCAAAGAGTGTGTTGCATTCATTTTCACTGAACTTTTGGTGGACAGTAAATACAGGTAGAAGCTGATTTCAATTACCAATGATTGAATGATTGCATTCATTCTCAATATTGATAAATAAAATCAATGTGACAACCAACTCCAGTCAAATATCCTCTGACCCTTACAGTCTTTTCGTATTTCACTTATTTCGTTCACATTACATTTGTTACAGTATATTACCACCCCCCTGGATTTGTTTTCTCCAACAGGGTTTACAATCACTACTATTTGTATGCTTATTATAAGTACTACCCAGGGGGCAAAACCCAATTTTTTTAGGAAATCAGACATGGAATGTTGTAAAAGGTTGTCCACCAGAAATGATATCTGTGGTGTCTAGACATTTGTGTTAAGTTAATTTATTTAGTTCAGTCCTTTTGTCTTTTGCCTTGTCTTGTGATTTCCTGTTTTATTTTGTAGTACCTTTCCCTCTCGTTTCAGAGCATTCCTGCCCTTGTGTGTTTTTCCCTCCAGTGTGATTGTCAGCCCCTCCCTTAATTGTTGCCACCTGTGTCCCCTTACCTAGTGTGTATATATAGTCTGCGTCTCCCTTTGTCCTGTGCTAGTTCGTCTTGTCTCATCAAGCCTGCCCGTCATTCCTTGATCGTGTTAAGTATATTTTTGATAGACTCTTTTGGTTTCATTTTTGATGTAGATGTTTTTGTTTAGAGTTTTGATCCTCCAAGTGAGCGTTTTGTGTTTTGACCTTCATTAAAAGACCTTGTTAATCCTGATCTGTTTCTGGTGTTGTGCGTTTGGGTCCTGAGCCTTGTGACATTCTTAACAGTACGAACTGGCCAAAGAATGGACCCAGCCGACCCAGACAGGTTCAGAGCAGCTCTGCGCTCACAAGGCACGCTTTTGTCTCAGCATGACGATCAGCTGAAATCAATTGACCAGGGAGTGAGAGACTTGAGTGGTCGTCAAGAAAGCTTCCAAACATCTGTGAAGAGCCAAGTAATCAACTTGTCCGTGTCCTTGCTCACCTGGAAGCTGGATCTCAAACTTTTTCCGCTGCTGCGCCACAGCCTGCCTGAGGCTGTGAATCCTGTGATCAAAGGACCTACTCCTTCTTCATGCTCTCGTCTCACATCTCCAGAGAAATTCTCCGGTGACTCAGGTGACTGTCGTCCTTTTTTAGTCCAATGCGACCTGCATTATCAACATCAGCCTTCTGCTTTTCCAACAGACCAGTCTAGGATAGCTTTCATGAGAACACACTTGACTGGTAGAGCAGCAGCCTGGGCTACAGCAGAATGGGCCAGAGACTCTCCCCTTTGCAGATCACTAAGACTGTTTACTGATTTCCTGAAAAAGATTTTTGATCGTACAGCACCAGGGAGAGAAGCGGCTAAAGCTCTAGTTCAACTCAAGCAAAGAAATCAAAGAGTGTCTGATTATGCCATAGAGTTTAGGACAATAGCAGCAGACAGTGGCTGGAATGATCTGGCTTTGCTGGACGCCTTTGTAAATGGACTTTCAGGCCTTGTCAAAGATCACTTAGCCCCATTAGATCTTCCAGAAGATTTAGACTCTGTGATTGATCTGGCCATATGAATAGATAATAGACTATGGGATAGACAAAAAGAAAGAGAACATCCTGCAGTTTGTTCACCAAGCTCCAGGGGGCCTCCTCGTGGCAGCCGGATGGGGGAGGATTCTTCTTCAGGAGTCTGGATCAAGCCTCCTTTGACAACGCCATCGACCACATCAGAGGAACCCATGCAACTTGGCCGAGCAAGACTTTCACTGGAGGAGCGTGAACGGCGCCTCCGCCAGGGCCTGTGTTTCTACTGCGGGCATCGTGGACACCTGATGGCCGCTTGCTCACTAAAAGACGGGTCTCCCCAGGCAAGAGGAGGGTGCTGGTGAGCCGACTAACTTCTGACTACTCTCCTCGTACGCTGACTCCTTTTTGGTAAGCAGACCTTAACACAGAATGTTCTCATTGATTCAGGAGCAGACGAAAGTTTTATGGACTGGAATCTTGCTAAAAGCTTGAACATTGTCACCATGCCCTTAGCTCAAACTTTAAATGCCAGCGCCCTTGATGGAAGATCATTGTTTCAAGTCACTCACCACACAGAACCCGTCCAGGTTATCATAAATCACAACCACACAGAATTCATGACATTCCATGTATTCGACTCCGCCCAACATCCTATGATTTTAGGCTTCCCATGGTTGAAAAGACATAATCCTCACATTGACTGGCGTTCTGGTAGGGTGAAGGATTGGGGAAGAGAATGTAATCACACATGTTTGGTTTCACCAGGAGAAGTTGAAGGGCTGTCTGTAGGAAGGGTTACTTCAGGTAGTGAGGTAGAGACTAAGGAAGTAACTCATGACCATTCCTCTGACTTACCAGACCTGCCCAATGTTCCCTCCTGTTACCACAACCTGAGGGAGGTTTTCAGTAAGACTCGGGCCTCTACGTTGCCTCCTCATCGACCTTATGACTGTGCAATTGACTTACTACCGGGTGCCCCCATTCCCAAGGGACGTCTATACTCAATGTCTGGTCCTGAAAGACAATCTATGACGGATTACATTGACTCATCTCATCTCCTGCTGGCGCCGGATTCTTCGTGGGTAAAAAAGACGGATCCCTCCGACCCTGCATAGACTACTCTCCCCTGAATGATATAACTGTAAAGAACAGGTACCCTCTCCCCCTCATTTCCACTGCTTTTGAACTGTTAAAAGGAGCTAAGATCTTCACTAAACTTGACTTGAGGAATGCCTATCACTTGGTCAGGATAAGGGAGGGGGACGAATGGAAGACTGGATTCAATACCCCCAGTGGCCACTATGAATACTTAGTAATGCCATTTGGGCTAACTAATGCTCCTGCTGTATTTCAGGCTCTTGTGAATGACGTGCTCAGACAATATTTGAATCATTTTGTGTTTGTCTACCTGGATCATATATTGATATTCTCTCCTGATGAAGAGTCCCATGTTCAGCATGTCCGCCAGGTCCTCCAACGCCTTCTGGAAAACCAACTATTCGTGAAGGCTGAGAAATGTGATTTTCACAAGACCTCTGTCTCATTCCTGGGCTTCATCATTGCTCCGGACCAGGTCAAGATGGATCCAAGCAAGGTCAGTGCTGTTGCAAATTGGCCCACACCCACCAACAGGAAGAAGGTACAGCAATTTCTCGGTTTTGCTAACTTCTACAGACGCTTCATAAGACATTTTAGCTCCATAGCTGCGCCTCTCCACTCACTCACCTCAACCCATGTTCAGTTTTTGTGGACTCTACAGGCCGACAAAGCTTTCCAGGAATTGAAAAGACTGTTTACCTCTGCTCCTGTTCTCATCACTCCTGATCCACTACGGCAGTTTGTGGTGGAGGTGAATGCATCCAATGATGGAGTTGGGGCTGTGTTGTCACAACGTTCAGCCAAGGACAGCAAACTTCCCCCATGTGCATTTCTGTCATGTAAGTTAACACCTGCTGAACGCAACTATGATGTAGGCAACAGAGAACTTTTGGCAGTTAAAACAGCGCTTGAGGAATGGAGACACTTTCTGGAGGGGTCAGAGCAACCATTTATAGTCTGGACGGATCATAAAAATCTTGAGTACATCCAAAAAGCTAAGAGACTGAAGTCACGTCAGGCAAGATGGGCTTTGTTCTTCACCCGTTTAACTTTTCCTTGTAATTTAGACCCGGTTCACAAAATGCCAAGCCAGATGCACTTTCTCGTGTTTTTGATCCTGAACCCTCGGCCAAGGAACCAAAGCCCATCCTTCCACTAAACGGTGTGGTTGGAGCGGTAACTTGGCCAATAGAAACGGAGGTGAAACGAGCTAACGGTGAGAGCCCGACACCTAGGGGTTGCCCCCCAAATAGGTTGTTTGTTCCTCAATCTGTGCGTCCTAAGGTCATTCAATGGGCTCACACCTCGCTGCTCACCTGCCATCCTGGGGTTAAAAAAACCATGTACTTCATCAAGCAACGGTTCTGGTGGACATCTATGGAAAAGGATGTCAAGGAGTATGTGACCGCCTGCACCATCTGCACCAGGAATAAAACCTCTTCCAGGCCCCAGATGGGTCTGCTCAGGCCGCTGCCTATCCCCAGTCGGCCCTGGTCCGACATCTCAGTGGATTTTGTCACCGGACTGCCAGAATCCAAAGGTAACACCACCGTCCTCACGGTGGTGGATAGATTCTCTAAAATGACACATTTTATTGCTTTGCCTAAACTGCCATCGGCCAAAGAAACGGCTGAAGTTTTGTTGCACCATGTTTTTCGTCTCCACGGCTTTCCCAGGGACATCATGTCGGACCGGGGCCCTCAGTTTGTCTCCCGTTTCTGGAGGGAGTTTTGCAGCCTCATCGGGGCCTCTGCCAGCCTCTCTTCTGGCTACCATCCCCAATCAAATGGACAAACGGAGAGACTTAATCAAGAACTGGAAACCTGCCTCCGGTGCCTGGTGTCCCAAAACCCCGCTTCTTGGAGTAAACACCTCACGTGGGTAGAATACGCCCACAACTCA